GTTGGGAATTTAGAGCTTCCATTCATCCGTAGCGCGTTACTGCACGCGGGCGCCACCCGATTTTTTCGACCCGTACCCACTCCCAACATGTACGTTAATTTCATTTACTATTATGGAAAAACTACTCAGAGATAATCGTCTTGTTCTGTGACCGTAGCTGAAAACCAGCTGCAAAAATGAGCCAGAAGCTCGAGAGTTCTCACAAAGATGTTGTACACTTTTGAAGCCATGCGGAAATCTGTACTCGAACCTAATGGCATATTCAACTCTAGTGAACCAGTTTCAAAATAACGAAGGATCTTCTTCCTCAAAAGAAAAAATGGAACGAATGGCCCGAAAATGGAAATCAAAAAAGTAGGAATCGTTCCTGAGCAAAAGAATGGAGAAATAATGCCAGAGACACGAATTTTCTAAGAAGGATATAAACAATGAAAAGTTTGAGAACGAATGTCCGAGGTAGCATTGATCACGTTCATACCCGCCGAGCGGCAGCAGACAAGCGCTATGCCGGGAAAAGAGGAGCTGCCCAAGCGATATAGAATTAAAGTTGAGAAGACAGAGGAAGGAAAAGAAGAGCAGACACACAGACACCCAAGTCTCGATCTCTACTATCTTTTATCTGTACCCATTGCGCTTTAGGAAAAACATCTGGGATAGTATGTTCTTCCGGTTTCTACTTTATCCAAACAGCTTGAGTACTGAAACGATTACATGACCATAAAAAGTTCCGATACATGGTTATAAGGTAATATTTTAAAATGGAAACCTTACAAAGGTGAGAAATTTCCAGAGCTCTTTCACTAATGGGGAATTAATATGGGCACTAAGGTCGGAATTTGCGGGAATTTCCTAAAATAAACCATATATATGTACCAAAGAGTAACGATCGAAACACTGGGCCGATTGAAGTGCCCTCTCGCGCGCCTGCTTGTAAGTCTAAACAGAAGTCCTGGTCCGTTCATAGTGCACGATGGACTCTAAGGCTAAAGATCATTACGCGATTTGAACAGACCGGAACATTTTCGCAGGACTAGCACGAGAAGGGGTCAACTCGAACGAGGAATGGGATTTAACTCAAATTACTAACTCCAAACTTTCCGGACACCTTCGAGTACTCCGCGTTACCCTAACCTCAGTCCCCTCCCCTTCTCCCAGGTTCTTCATAAGTTGACATAAGTGGATGGATCATTCAGAAGGCGTAGTTTGGGAGGATCTCACATTGCTGGGAAATCTCTTGTCGCTATGATTCATTCAAAACAACGGCCAGACGATGGTCATGTGACGGAATCGATTTGCGGATTCCTTTTAAAAGGAGTCCCCCAACATAGTTTTCGGGAAAATTAAACCTCAAAATCCACCTGTATCTACTTGAAGATGTTTTGAATTTATATAACAACTGGTATTTGTTGTTGAAGTTGATAGAATCCCCCTATGTCGTTGTTCAACGCAAAGTGATTACGGACTCGATCATCCCGACAGGTTTCTTCATGGAGAGGAAAGTTGTGGAAAAAACTTCTCGNCTTCAAAAAAATGTTCCACCGCTTTTCTTCACGGTTCTACCTATGATTAAGGGAACTACTCGGACAGACGTAAAGTAGGCGAGGTCGTCAGATTGAGCCATGCCATTAAATAGCGCTAAGGTGTGGCCCGCTACAATCATCAGGCTCTCCTTCCCCCTCCCCCCCTCTCCCTCTCCCCCACCCACCACCGCAAACCTGAATAACTAGTGTGGGAGACACTTATCTCAGAATATATTCTTCTCACACCATCACGGAATAATCGAAAAAACCACATAGAAGACAAAAAGAGACCAGAAGTAGCTTTGACGGACACTACCTTGCGATTGCGAAAAAAATGAAACAGGAAAAACTTCGAAAAGCAGGAAACAGAGCCGCTTGTCTGTCAGAGAGAACTTGATGGTGGGCGTGCCCTTCTTTTTAAGCTATCTCATAACAACTTTCCTACTATACTGGGTAATCTTTAAGTAACATAAGCCCCTCACCCTTTTCCGCCCATGCCTTTTCCCTTCTCACTGCTACATCATTGAAATTTCACTGTTCCTGTTCCCATCTATCGAGGGCGAGTGCCTCTATGAACAGCCAGCTGGGTGAAGCATGCAACCCAGACTTTATATTCTCCCTAACGAGGCATTTCGGGTATTGAAACTGACACGACTTGTCTACCCCGAAGGCGATCCCTATTTCTTAGTCATGGTGGTCTACTTTGTAACCACAAGCCGATAGTTTTGTAGGAACTACTTGTACTGCTGTCCCGTACCTCAGTTCTGGAGGAGCCACTAGAAGGAATAAATTGAGATTATAGCTGCCCAGACCAGATGCCTGTCCTTATCATTCAGCTGCGATGTGGGCGTTAGATAAGGTGGTCAAGGTGCACCTTCTCAATTAAGCCCCGAGTGGGAAGGCTACAAATAGTCACACCAGGGCCCTCAGAGCCCTGGTGAACTCCACGATTTCAATGTCAAACAATCATCGGAAAATGGCCAAAATGACCATTACAATCACTTCTCAGTTTAAGACTTCACTAAAACAACTGTGGAGCATTCTCGAAACGAATTGAATGTGAAAGGGACCTCTGAATGGGCCCTTCAAACAGTACCACTGAATGTGGGTCGGAGGAAAAGAGGAATGTGCCGAGCGGCCAGCACTTGGCATGCGCGCGCGGCACCGCACGCGATGCGGTGTTCAATCCGAGCGGCCTTTCATGCGTCTGCATTTTTTCTATCACTCCTTCATTTAATTTTTCTGATTACCGTAAACTACGATTACAGTAATTGATCATACCTGAAGTACAGTACCGAATCATCAATATTTACATTTACTCTTTCTGGTGCATAATGAGTTTCGAAGGGTATACTCCCTAATGATTTATTGCTGGGACCTGAGAGAGTGGGCCAACGGACGATTCTGTGATGAACCATTCCTGAGGTGTATCATTCTCTTTTTAAGACGTCCCCGCTTATTCGTTTTTCAGAGTGACATCTGATTGCGCACTACTTGGCTTATCTGACGGCTCAGAAAATTTGCAAGTCGGTCTTCATTGTCTCCGACGAGTTCGACATCAATCAGCCGGCTCTGAAGAGGTGGCAGTTGCAGCTTGTTGCGTCGAGACCCGAACTCGGATTTCATTACCGACCCATGCTAGCAGTAATGGCGCCTCATGTCACTGCGCCATCATCTCTCTTATTGCAGTGTGCCTAGTTAATCCCGAATCATGAGATATACACATTAGATTCTTATCTTCAGGACTAGAGTTTCAGATGCTCCCTTCTGGATCTTTCTTATTTAACAGTCTCGAAATCCATAACGAAGGAATCACTCGAATTCCTGAACTCACTGACGACCCCAGGTCTCTGGCTTCAACAAGTGGCCACTCCGATTAATTCAACACACGGTTTCACAATGGGGGTCGGTAAAAGAAGGTGGTCGTCTAAGAAATGCTCAAAAACATATTACATGGAAAAGCGCAAGAACAAGGACAAAAACAAGGTGTTCAGAGGCGTTATGTCGCGTGAGAGGAGGCCCTCCATAAAGTAACTGAGCCATCTGTCTCTCCAGGACCAGCTATTTCGTGTAATACTTAGCTATGCGCATAGCTGAGAGCACAAAGCGAACACGGCAGAAACACAAAGGTCCTAAATAATTGTCGACGATCTAGGAGGAAAAAGCGATTCCCCGGCATATCCGAAAGAACTTTGTAGGAAGAGGAAGAAGGGAAATATTTACTTCCCGATAGTTTTATAGTATTTAGTGAAGAGAGAAAACATGATCCACAAAGCATATAAGACAAAGTCTTTGGCTCCAGTTAAGCCCATTCCTTCGGGATGCGCCACTCCCTCGACCTTCATT